CCCATTGATAACCCATTGACACCCCATTGATGACCCAGTGTTACCCCATTGATAACCCATTGACACCCAATTGATAACCCAGTGTTAGCCCATTGATAACCCATTGACACCCCATTGATAACCCGGTGTTACCCCATTGATAACCCATTGACGCCCCATTGATAACCCGGTGTTACCCCATTGATAACTCATTGACACCCCATTGATAACCCGGTGTTACCCCATTGATGCCCCAGCGTTAACCCACAGTTATCCCATTGTTATCCTGGTGTTATCCCAGCGTTACCCCATTGAGACCCCATTGATACCCCAGTGTTATCCCAGCGTTATCCCGGTGTTACCCCATTGATACCCCGCTGTTGCCCCAGTGTTACCGCACTGACACACCATTGTTACCCCAGTGTTATACCGGCGTTATCCCACTGTTATCCCACTGTTATCCCGGCGTTATCCCCGTGTTACCCCCGTGTTGCCCCGGCATTATCCCGGTGTTGCCCCGGCGCTACCCCAGCATTGCCCCAGCGTTACCCCATTGTTATCCTGGTGTTACCCCAGTGTTATCCTGGCGTTATCCTGGTGTTGTCCCAGTGTTATCCCATTGTTATCCCAGTATTATCCCAGTGATGCCCCATTGTTATCCCAGCATTATCCTGGTGTTACCCCCAGTGTTATCCCCGTGTTATCCTGGTGTCATCCCAGTGTCACCTCATTGTTACCCCAGTGTTATCCCGGTGTTGTCCCATTGTTACCGCAGCGTTATCCCCATGCTGTCCCGGTGTTAACCCGGCATTATCCCGGGTTTATCCTGTTGTTATCCCACTGTTATCGCGGTGTTACCCCATCGTCACCCTGGTGTTATCCCATAATTACCCTGGTGTTATTCCGGTGTTACCCCGGTGTTATCCCATCGTTATCACTGCGTTACCCCAGCATTACCCCACTGTTATCCCGGTGTTGCCCCACTGTTATCCTGGTGTTATCCCTGCATTACCCTAACATTACCCCACTGTTACCCCACCGTTATTCCAGTGTTATCCCAATGTTATACCGATGTTGCCCTGGTGTTACCCCACTGTTACCCTGACATTACCCTGGTGTTACCCCACTGTTACCCAACGGTTACCCCACGGTTATACCAATGTTACCCTGGTGTTGCCCTGCAGTTACCCCAGCATTACCATGGCATTACCCCTGGTGTTACTCTGGCGTCACCCCGACATTACACCGGTTACACCACTGTTACCCCCGTGTTACACCAGTGTTATACCAACCTTACCCCACTGCTACCCCATGAGTACCCCAGATTACCCTGCTGTTATCCCAGTGTTATCCCAACGTTATCCCGATGCTGCCCCGACGTTACCCCTCTGTTATCCCAGAATCACCCTGGCGTTACCCCAGTTTTACCCTGGCATTACCCCCATGTTACCCCGGTGTTAACCCACTGTTACCCCAGCATCATACCAACGTTACCCTGGTGCTACCCCATGATCACCCCAGCGTTACCCCAGCATCACCCCATGGTTACCCCAGCGTTACCCCATGGTTACCCTGGCGTTACCCCGGCGTTACCCCGCTGTTACCCTGGCACTGCCCCAACGTTACCCCGGTGTCACACCACTGTTACCCTGGTGTCACCCCAGTGTTATGCGACATTACCCCAGTGCTACCCCATGATCACCCCAGCATTACCCTGCTGTCCCCCCGCTGTTACCCCGCTGTTACCCCCCCTGCCCCCCGCCATTCCCCGCAGCCGACCGCCCTCTGACCGGGACCTACACGGTGACGGTGGGCGCGACCGGCCCCTCCCGCGTCATCTCCACCCACGACCTCGGCCACTTCCTCCTCGCCTGCCTCCACACCTCCCGCTACGACGGGCAGAGCGTCCACCTCGGTGGGGATTACCCCCGGGATTAGGGGGCATCCCGGGATCACCCCCGGGATTAGGGGGGTGGGATTACCCCGGGATTGGGGGGGATCCTGAGATTATTCCTGGATAACCCCCTGGATTAGGTGGG